TAATCAATAAGTCATTGGTCTTGCAAAATTCTATAATGTATTACTCATATCATTTCTATCACTAAGGCCATATTTTCCAACTACTGGCTCTTCTTTTTTTCCCAACTTTCTCATTCCAATCACCAGTTACCACCAACAGATATTGATTATATGTTTGGTCAGTTACAGACTGCAAAAAGTTGGTAAAGATCTTCCATTTCTTCATCATTGGTATTAGTGGTTGATACATAATTTTGAATAATAATTGTATTAACCGGTCTTCCTTGTGGACATATAGGTATTGTTTGATGGTATTGCACTTCAGGATAAATCTTTCATTGTTCTTTTTGATGATTCAATAGGTCATTCCTGGCATAGTATACCATATGATTGCACAATTGAAAACGGTTGAAACCAGTCATTTCCAGCTCACCAATGCCTAGGATATTGATCTCTGAGCGTTCTATTTCATGTGTGTCAATTTCCAGTTTTCCTTGATTCATACTTTCTACAGTCCATGTTCCAATTACTAACAGATGTTTGCAGCTGTTTCTTCTTATTTGGATTCATGGCACAGCAACAAATGAAGATCCAAATAGCTTTACTCCATCCGTGCTATTTAACTTGACTCTATTTTGAGAAAGCAGCTATTCCTCAGTCATATTTTTAATGTTTTTCAACCTGAGCAGCTCATCTTCCAGCTCTATATCTGACAATGACTTGCTGTTTATCCATGAGGTTTTCACTGGCCAATTTCTTTAGGAATAGATCTCTCGGTCCTTCTACTTAGTCTGTCTAGGCTGGAAGTTCTGCTGACACCTAGCCAATCTGGATGACCCTGCTAGTAGTTGAAATACCAGTCACACAACTTCCATCACAGCAAACTACCACAATATGAGAAACTGACAACCAAGTGGTGGTAGACTTTGTTGCATCATGTAAATGATGGTTTTGGCTGCACTGTGAGACACAAAAGCTAAAGTATATACCTTGACCAAAATAGATTGGCTATGTGTGACTGCCAAAAGAGTCACTCTGGCAATTCAAGGCATGCTTTAGAGGCACTTCAAAGTCAGCTACACAAGCACTGTGCAGGATGCCAAGGTACTAAATGGGGCTCAAGAGAGCCAACGTTCTAAATACTCTTTTGACAAGAGTTGTTTATCTTGTAAATGGCAAAGGTTTCAGAACTTATCATTTAATCTTAGTTTCTTAATGCTGCTGTAACATACAATACCACAAATGGGTGGCCTGATGAATAGAAATTTTATTTTCTCACAGCTTAAGGGGTAAGAACTATGAATTTAGGGCACCTGCTCTAGGTGAAGGCTTTCTCTCTCTCTGGTGGCTCTTGGGGGAAGGTCCATGTCTCTTTTCAGCATTTGTTCCATCAATGCTTGGTGGGATCTATTCATATGGGATCCATCTTTTCCCATGTGTCCATGTTTCTATGCCAAATCATCACTTTTTATGTATCGCTAAAGTGGTATAGGCTTAAACTACACCTTACTGTAGTTTAAGTTACACGTTACTGTAACACAGAAAACCACAGATACCCAATAGGGATTATATCCACCAGTGTAGGGGTTAGGATTTACAACACGTATTTCTAGGGGACACAATTCAGATCATAAATCACTTACATATATACCCCACCTTACTGTGGTATTTTCCTAAGACACTGGCAATTTAACCTTCATAATAATCAAACAAGCAGCCATTTGTATTTCATTTCACAAATGGGGAAACTGTGGTTTTAAAAAATTAAATAATTTGCCCAATATTATAAATACAACATCTTCCGGGACCAGGTCTTAAATTCAGATTCCTGGACCACTTACTTAAATGATCATTCTGCTAAAATTCTCACTAAATACCATGAGTTCAGTTCAGACAGTGTTGCTAATAGATCCAGTTTATCTGTTTATGTCATCAGTGCTTTAAGGACACCTCATGTGCCGCCACCACCTGTTCTGCAATAGAGGCATATGCATTGCTATGCTGATAGATGGTTTCAGTGGAACATTTAAACTAAGACAGTAGGAAGAAAGGCCTGGCAATCTGCTCCTAGAAATAAGCTAATAAAAACCATATGGAGTAAAGTGCTCTGATCTGCAAGTAGTCATGGAGACAGAATTTTGTCCCATTGTATCATGGTCACCATGGGGGTTGGGGAATGGAGTGGGGAGAGGACTCAAAGACAGCTAACAACAACAAAAGTTGTAACTCTCAAACCTTAGTTCACATGTAAACAGCACCAAGCAGCCTTGTTATAACATAAATTGCTGGACCCAACTTCCAGAAATTTTCATTCAGGATACCATAGTAGATCCTAAACAAAAATATTCCTAACAAATTGAGATCTGATTTTGAGATTGCTAGTGTGGGACCACACTTTAAGGATAAAGTACGATAGTGGTGGTTATGTGCCCTGAAGATAGTTCCGACTCAAAGTGACCCTGTATGGGGTTTCTGAGGCTGTAAATCTTTACAAGAGCAGAAAGCCTCCTCTTTCTCTCTTGGAGTGGCTGGTAGATTCAAACTGCTGACCTTGTGGACAGCACCTTAGCTCATAATCCACTACGCTACCAGAGTAGGTTGTTATTAAGTGCCATCCAGTAAGTTCTGACTAAGCGACCCCATATAGGGTTTCCAAGGAGTGGCTAATGTGGCTTGAACCGCCAACCTTGTGGTTCAAATCAACCTTGCAGTCCAGTGTATTAACCCACAGTACCACACCAGAGTATGCATAACCACAAGTAGTAGCAAGTTAAATATAACACTGAGGCGGTATATCAGAATGTCCTGTGGAGCTTCTAAACCTCAGACTCAAGCCAAACTATTCTGATACAGGCTAGGCACAGGAATCCATACATTCAGACAGCTCCAATGATGAAGCTGTTGTACAGTCAAGAGTGAACAGAGCAGCAGGGAAGATTACTCGCTGGACTGTTTATGTCAATGAAATGAGTTCCTTGTTAAAGTAGGAGTAAAATACTTACCTTACTAATTGTTACCATTTGCCTATCAAATTCATTGCAGATACACACGAAAAAAAGTTTAAAATAAACAGAATACATTGATTTGTAGTACATACTCAAAAACATTATGTCCAGTTTCTCTGGATGGTTATACTAACTTAGGATATGGCATGATCTTCACAAAAGGCCTGTATAAATAAATCTTGGACCCAGCTGTTTTAGAAAGCCATTTGTTTTCTCTGTTAAATGGTGAGGGGGGAAAAAAAAAAAAACCTCCCTTGCTAAAACTAAGAGCTCAATTTATAGGATACCTTACCCTGGTGGTGCAGTTGGACTGCTAACCAGAAGGGCAGCAATTTAAACCCACCAGCTGCTTCTCAGGAGAAAGATGAAGCTGTCTGCTCCTCTAAAGATCTGTTGTTGTCCTTGCTAAGTGACGTCGAGTCAGTTCCAGCAAGCGGGTTTCCAAGGAACAGCTGGTTGATTTGAACAGGCAACCTTGCGGTTCAAACCAACCTTGCATCCCAGAGCTTATCCTACAATGCCTCACCAAGACTCCAAAAATTTATGGTCTCAGAAATCCTATATATGATCATTATGCACTGAAACGCACTGCCCTAGTGGCACAATGAGTTAGGCATCACGCTACTAAGCAAAAGGTCAACAACACTCCTCGAGCAAAATATGTATCAGTCTGTTTCCATAAAGGTAGAAAGTCTCAGAAACCTTGTCTAGCAGTGCTACTTTGTCCTACAGGAACTTTCTGAGTCGAGATCAATTCAATGTCAGTGGGTTTGCTTTTGGTTTTATCCTTCCCTTTAAATCCAAACGTGGCTTTCTCTGACAATGTTGTTGTTGTTGCTCTTAAGTGCTGTTGAGTCGGTTCCAACTCACAGCACCCCTGTATAGGGTTTAAGAGGAGCGGTTGGTGAGTTCAAACTACCAACCTTGAGGTTCAAACCTACATCGCGGTCCAGTGCTTTATCGTGCAGAGCCACATCAGGACAATCACTAACTCATAGCTTCTCTTGCCCTTCTTTTTTAAAAAGTGAAAAGATCCCTCTACATTGTGTAGTTAGTTATTAAGTATTCATTACATCCAGCAAATATTCTATTCATGTCAAACGTTCAATGTATCCATTTATTGGTTTTTTTATGTCACAGCGATCTCAGGATTTCTTCTGTGTCTTCATGCTCACCTTGTCTCAGATCTAGCCAGTATCAGCCCTTTCAAGGTCTTCTCATCCTGAAGGTATGTATACAAAGGGGCCTCACAAAGTTCATGGACAACGGAAGTCAGAGATAATGGAATTTTCCCACAAATTCTTTAAGCCCCCCTCATAGCTCCATCTTTCCTTACTATCTTGACCACCAAGATATTAGTTCGAGCTCCCCTTGTGCTCTCCTTGCAGATATAACTTGCTTGATCATTTCTTAACAGCTTTAGGATCGGATTGTTCAGGAGAAGGTTGAGCCATTTGACTCAATCTTTAAATGGAACTAATGATGAACTTTGTATTTTCAGCATTTCTTTTTAGTCCATAAGAATAGGCAAAAGAGGGGCTTCTGTATAACTTTAGGTTATGAGGCAAGTAACATTAAGTTCTTATAGTATTATAGTAATACTAAGAAACTCTTACAGTATTATTGGACATAGAATATTTTCTATTTCTCCTACATATCTCTTTACTACTAAATCTCTGCTGCTCAAATTCAGGCATCAGAGGGACCAGAATAAATCTAAATCTGAAAATGAAGTCTTAGTTTTAAGGATTATTTAAATAAATATTAACTTAATTAATGACCCAACCCTTCCCCCGCAAAAAACAACAACAAAAATCCCACTGCCATCGAGTCTAGCCCAAATCACAGTAACTCGGCATAAGGTTTCCAAGGCTGTAAATCTTCCTGTCATGGAGCATTTCTTAGTTTTATTTGTTTTCTTTTTAAGGAAATCTTTTATTAGACAGTTTGAAAATGAAACAAAGTAGTCAACACACATGAACATTAAATTCTAAAAGATTATCGGTCTATTCTTACCCTTGAGAAGATGTTTTCCAGGGAGCTGGTTAAGGACCTCTTTGCCTTATTTTTCAAAATGTCAAGTTTGAACCGGCCACTGCTTGTCGAATTTTCCGGGATTGTACTATTTGAAATAGTCTACATTAAAAAAACAAAAACAGATAAATCCCAGTCTGCAAATACCAAGGTTAAATGAGGCTTTACATGTAGGCTTACCCAAGTCATTAAAAACACACACACACACACACACACACACACACACACACACACACACAGAAGAATTCTTCAGTAAACTCCATTAAAAAGTAATAACTTAGGTTCCACATTGCGAACACACAGATTTCTAGGAAAACGGATCAATTTTTAATAATGTAAATAATAAAAATAACAGCAATAAGTTCTTCCCTTCCACCTAATAAATTCTGGCTGCATCTTCTTTTAAAAAAATTAAACTTGAGATAGCACTTTCTACTGATATTTTGATTCATAACTATAACCATCCATTCCAAGTTGCTTATTTTATATCCAAATTGCCAAGTGGGAATAAAGACCAAACAAAAACCAGGAAGCATGTTGTAAAACGCAGAGCAGCTTCCAGTGAAGCTGGAGTCTGCAAATGGCTCTGTTACCATTACATTTTTGTTGGTGATAGAACTAAACTCTATGAGATTCTCCTATGCACCCACTATTTACTCTAGTCTCTTGCCCAGTTCTTCGCTTTACATCTCCAGCCATCCAGTCACCAAGTCCTAACAGTTGTGTCTCCTAAGTGGCTCTCCATTCAGCCCCTTCCCTCACATCTCAGTGTGGTAAATTCAGGCCTCTCACCTGAAACAAAATAAAATCTCCAGGTCAGAAGCATGCAATCTGTCTACGAGCCAGTGCACCCTTGTATCTTGCATATGTTGATATTACTGTACTGTCGGTGTTGGTGTTGTCAGATGCATGTGATAAAGTAAAACTTCCCTATAAGGTTTTCTAGGCTGTATCTTTTTGTGGGGTAGATCACCAGGTATTATCTCCCACAGAACTGCTGGGAGGGTTCAAACCACCAATCTTTTGGCAGTTGAGCACTTAAACTATTGTGCCACCAGGATTCCCTAAATTACTGTGCTAATCACACCATGTTTTAATTACAAATTGGCTTGTCCTCTACACAGGAAAAAGACAAGGCTAAGATTTATCCCCACTGCCTAGTGTACAGTATGCATTTGATAAAGGTTTAGGTAATAATCAAATGCATGACTTCTTGCAAATCCTATTATAAATTTTTTCTAATTGGAAACGATGAATTCCATCCAAACTCTCCCAACCTACTCCCCTAAAACTCTACCATCGCAGTGACAACAGAATTATCTCCCAGTCTGATATTCTTGTGCTTTTTCTTGAAATCCTTCCACAGTCATGTTTAGCCTGGTGCTTAAGGCTCTTCATCATCTCTCCACTACTGACCCTTTCAGTCTTGCTCTCCTTATCCACAAAAGCCCACTACAAATCGGCACACCTTTGTAAGTACACATAAGGATTATGTGTGGTCACATTCACTGCTACATGCTTTTTGAAAACATACTTCCTCCACTTTCCTGATAAGCAAACTTTATCTCCACTGAAACTCCAGCCTTTCCAAAATGCTTATCCCTCTTGCATTTCTTAATACTCCCAGCAGCCCTTACTTCTTACTCGAACTCCAAAGCAAAGGCAGACATAGCGGCTCTGTTCTCCTGCAAACTACTTTGTAGAAGTCATTTACTGCTTCTACTATATGTTTAAGGAGCTCTGGTAGCATAGTGGTTATGAATCGGGCTGCTAACCTCAAGATCGGCAGTTCAAAACTATCAGAAATTCCGTAGGATAAAGATGAGGCTTTCTGCTCCCATAAAGATTTACAGCCTTGGAAACCCTGTGCAGGGTCACTATGAGTCGGAACCACGGTACTTAACAACAACAACAGCAACTATAGGTTTGGCTTCTCTTTCGAATGTTTGAGCTCTTCTCCAGAGAGAACATCATTGTTCATTTATCTCTTTTGTCTCTCCTAAACACACAGCATCCTAGTGTGGTGCGGTGGGTTAATGCACGGGACTGCAAAGCTGGTTTGAACCATAAGGTTGACTGTTCAAGCTCACCAGCCACTCCTCGGAAACCCTATGCAGGGTCTCTATGGGTCACAAGTGACTGGACGGCACTTAACAACCACAACAACAATTTAGTTATTTCAGTACCTTTTATGAGCCAACAATAAACACACAGCTTGGCTCATAAAAGGTTCTGAAATAGCTAAATGAAAGAATCAAGTAATATATGATCTGTTCTGAAGAAAGAGTGAAATAAAAATCTAACCTGAGCTATTGTTATATTTTCACTAAATATGAAAGATACACACAAGAATGAGAGACAAGGAGACAGCTCACCGACGGGCCTTCCCCAATGTGAGTGTGTGTCCGCTGCTTGGCCTCACACAGCTGCCTCAGATGTAAAATCACAAGTTCATTTTCTTCCTGGTCACTGACTGGCTTCATTTTCTGTAGAACAGACAAACCAAGATAACATAGGGGGGCAACACAGCACCTCTCATCTTATTATAGTCTCATTGGGTTTTCTCATTTTGACAGACAAACATGAAGTTAAGACTTGGACTGCTCTAAAAGGCAAAACTAGCAACCGCATTCTAGCTACTATTAAAGATCACTATATAATATACATCTTTAACTTCAGATAGAGGCGGAAAAAGGAACTCATAAAACAGTCTGATTCTTATTCCTTGTATCTTAGTTAGGAAACCTGTAAATGATAGAACCTGAACTCGTTCGAAGATGTCAGCTTGCTCATTATCTGTCAAAGATGAGAGATGCCTTTGTATGACCAGCTTGGCTCTTGGCGGATAGAGACCTAAGAAAAATTACAGGGAGGGAGCATTAAGCAGAGTCTAGCAGCTGGGTCCTAAGTTTATATAATACATTGCAGCCCACCCCTTAGGCAACAGGCACTGAATTCAACTCTTCTCAAAATGTGTACCTGCCTACACCAAACCTTGGGACACTACATTAAAATGATTAAAATGAGATGGAAAATCTCATCGAAAGCTTCTAACAGACAAGACACCCTTGCAGTCAGAATTAGAACCAAGAACTTTTAAATGAGACCAAGTTGTCAGTACAAGTCGGTATCATTTAATTTACCAACAAACTTAACCATGATAGAACCCTGAATGGAATCAACCTATCCTTGTTGTTGGCATGGAAATAAAAGTTAAACTGTAGTCTTGACCAGTATTTCTTAGAATAAATGATACTGAAGAAGAAAGACTGACTTATTATAAGGCAGAACCGTCACGCAGCCTGGATCTCTTCCCTTCAAGCAGTTTGTGTTCTGTGGGCTTAAACGTTAAAGGGGAGCATGAGTGCCTAGTGACACTTTTATTGTTGTTACTTTACCTAGAATTTTTTACTTCTTTAAATCACAATATCACTTAAGTCTGTCTTAAGCACAATTTATATTAAATCCTTGTGAATTTTTTTTCCCTCAAGAATAGTTCTGTTTTTATAATTTAACAAATGGAAAACTGAATTCATATTTACAATGTTGTTGTTAAGTGCCATCAAGTTGATTCTGATTCATAGCGACCCTATACAGGGTTTCTGAGGAGCAGCTGGTGAGTCTGTACTGCTGACCTTGCAGTTCAAACCACCCTTGCAATTGAGTGTTTATCCTACAACACCACCCTGGTGCTTGGCATACATTTGGCACCTGGTAGCATAGTGGTTACGAATTGGGCTGTGAACCGCAAGGTTTGCAGTTCAAAACTACCAGCTGTCCCGCGGGATAGAGATGAGGCGTTCTGCTCCCATAAAGATTTATAGCCTCAGAAACCCTGTACAGGGTCGCTATGAGTCAGAACTGACTCCACGGCACATAACAACAACTACCTCTGTCATTTACAAATGTTACTTAAAAATCAGGCCAATTTCAATACAGCTGTAAACTTTTAGGGACAAAAGAACACATTATCAAGCAAGGGGAAAGGAGAACAAATTTTGCTGGCAACCTTCCATGATAATTTTGCCTTTCTTCATTCATTCAATAAATATTTGGTCCAGTTACGGAGCCCTGTTAGCACAGTGCTAAAAGTGCTTGGGTGCCAAATCAAAAGGTCATCCAGTGGTTCAAACCCACCAGTTACTTCCCAGAAGAAAGAAGATGCAGACCGCTTCCATAAAGATTGTTGTTAAGTGCCATCAAGTCGATTCCGACCCTGTGTAGGGTTTCCAAGGAACAGCTGGTTGAGCTTGAACCACCAACCTTGCAGTTCAAACAGCTTTGTAGTCTGGCACATTAACCCACAGCACCACACCAAGATTACACCCTTGAAAACCCTATGGGGCCATTCAGCTGTCCTAGAGGGTTTCCATGAGTTGTAATCGACTTGATAGTAGTAGGATGGGTTCGGTTTATTTCTACTATGAACACAGCAGACTTCTGGTGTGGTGCTGTAGGATCAGTATTGGACTGCGAACCGTGAGGTCGGCAGTTCAAACCCATTAGCTGCTCTTTGGAAACCCTACACAACGTGTCTAAGAGTCAGAACCGAATCAATGGCACTTAACAACAACAACATGTACATAGTAGAGTCTTAAGAACCATGTGAAATGCAGGTACCTTTCTTGATTTTGCCTTGAGTTAAAACAAAAGGTCATGCATTGAGGAGAGATTGACAACTCACTCAGTTCAGTTACTTGACCAGAGATGAAAACTGATTCTTGGAGCTCTGATTTCAACCAGAAACAAAGAACCATTTAATGACAGTAGGGACTTTCTGGTTTCCCAAAAGCCAAAGCAAACTCTGCTTCTGCCAAGGCTAACTCACACTGTACCTTCAATCCTTTCACAGAGCTTGTGCAAAGAGTGCATCGGGCAGGCCTCACACAGCTTGATCTGGGTCTTAGCACTCTGCAGCGCAGCAGCCGTGCTGAAAGCCTGCTTCAGAGTCAGCATTACCTCATCAACCTACAAGAAGAAACAGAACTCAGGTCTATAAAAGACTGCTTTCATGGTAACATTAAACACCCAACAGCAATGTCGGACTTGGCTGACCTTAACTAAACAATTAATAATAGAATTTTGATGACTAGAAAGCTGGTAGAAAATATCAAGTCTTAAAGTTAGGCCTTCTATACGTCTAACTGACATCTGAACAAAGTAACACCATTTTAATATGTGTCCTAGAATACTAATTTGTTCATTGAATGCTACTTTCTAATCCCACTGACTATTAGCCACTACAGACAGTTCAATTAGATGATCCGGTTTTTTGTTTAGTTAAGTGGTTTATCAGATAAAGACCTGTCTGGAAATTTTGTCTGCAACATACAAAATCAGTTTTTGTACGCTGGAGCATATAATATTAGTTCAACTTCATTTATACTATTTATTATTCTGGATCCTTTTTAGTGTAAAGCAAGCAAAATGTGTTTAAGGTCCAGGGGAAAAGGCGTTCAATTTAAATACCGGGGGGGAAAGTAAACCATGGGGGCTTCAAATAGTATTGGAAAATTTTCATGATCTTTTCATTCCGTTTTCCATTTAAGTTGGTGATCTTATCTATGTGCTTCTAAATTGCCATCCTCCCATTCTGGGCTGTAAGAAGTGCTAAAATGGTGCAAATCTCTGGAACCCACAACCATGCCACCAGCTAGAAAACGAATAGCTCTTTCCTTTCCTCTCTTCTGTGATTCAGTCAATAGCTTGAAAGTAACCATCTAGTCTCCTGGTAGCTTTGTTGAAGTCCATTAACGGTCCACCCTCACATATTGCCAAACCTACTTCCAGCTGCACCCCCAGCTTCTCTATAACACAACCACCAGTAAAAAGGAGTGATTTTTCCTCACTTTGTAGTACTTAGTTCAAATTCTAGAACCTGTATCACAAAGCTGTGAAATGCTAGGGTCCTCATCTGAATGAGATTTGGTGTTCAAAACCACTCATCATGTTTTAGAGTCTTTTCCTATGGTCGGGATTAAGAATAAGCTAACATTTTCAAAATTTAATCAGCTTCTGCATTTGAGTATATGAGGAGCATGGATAAAAGGAAAATTTTCTCTTCTAGTGTTGCTGAATGAGGATATCAAACACCAAGCAATCAGTCATTGTATAGTTAATTTTTATTATGTTATTAACCATTATAAAGACTGATAATTTCACAGCATTCCATGACTAGAGATAAATTATTCATAGAATCTGATCTTTTATGGTGTAATTTTAAAAATAAAGATTTCTAATTATTAAAAATAAGAGCACTACATATTTAATGTCTTAGCATTTTTATTTTACTTACCTTGTTACATATTCAAAAGTAATTTTGGTTGTTTATGCTGAAGACATTTATTTATACCGGTAAACTTTGTTTTATTGTGCTTCACTTGATTGTTCCTTGCAGATATTGCATTTTTTACTAAGTGAGGATTTGTGGCAACTCTCCATGGAGCAAGTCTATTGGCATTATGTCTCCAAGAGCATGGGCTCACTTTGTATCTCTGTGCCACATTTTGATAATTCTAACATTTCAAGCTTTTTCATCATGTTATTGGACACTTAACAGACTACAGTATAGTGTAAACATAGCTTTTATATGAACTGGGAAGCAAAAACTTCATGAGACTCATTTTATTGCCATATTCATGTTATTGTGAAAATCTGCAACTAAATTTGTTTTATCTTCGAGGTATGCTTGTATATTTTTCTCATTTTAACACGCTTAAAGGGTTAGTAATTTTGTTTAGCAGCATACATAGCGACCCTGTATAGGGTTTCCAAGGAGCAGCTGGTGAGCTTGAACTGCAGACCGTGTGGTCCAAACAGACTTTGCGCATTAACCCACAGCGGCACACCAGAACTTCCAACAACAATTTTGTTTCGCAGCATATATAACTTTCATAAAGGTTTATCTGTTATCCAATAATAATACCTTGTGGAATATCTCCAGAGGAAATGCTAAAGTCTCAAGTTTTCCCCTCTATTTCTAAATTAAACAGGGATCATTTCAATGGTATCCCATATGTGACTACCAACGCCTTCCAGTAACAAATTCTACCAGCAACTCTATTTGACTTCTAAAATGTTAAGTGTTTTACTTTTTAAAATCTATCCGTCTTTTTAGATGGCCAATAAATTCTATCATGAGAACAGGGCAAAGATAAAAAAAATAAAGCACTATGAAATATATTAGTTATTTTAATCTAGACTAAATATTACGTCCATTCCTTTATTTTGAACATTTTTACGTGGCACATATATGTATGTTTATATACATATATACACACACACACATATATGGAGTCCTGGTGTGGCGCTGTGGGTCTGTGAGTTAATGCGCTGGACTGCAAGTTTGGTTTGAACCACCAAGTCAGTAGCTCAAGCCCACCAGCCACTCTTGTATAATTCTATTCAGGGTCGCTATGAGTCAGAACTGACGGACTAAATGGCACTTAACAACAATATATATATGCCATCGAGTTGGTATACTTATGTGCTGTCAAGTCAGTTCCAAAACATAGCGACGTTGTATAGGGTTTCCAAGGAGTGGTGGGTTTGAACTGCCAATCTTGTGGTTCACAGCCTGGTGCTGATCTTACAGAGCCACACCAGGAGTCTCTCCTTCCCTCTTTCTATTTATCTATAAGGAGCTCTGGTAGCATAGTGGTTGAGTTGGGCTGCTAACCTCAATGTCAGCAGTTTGAAACCACCAGCTGTTCCATGGGAGATTGGGCAAAGATACAGAAATCATATCAGAAAAAAAAAAATCTTTACATTGGCATCAGACATTTGTAAAAAGCATCAATTAGGACAATTTATGGCATTACAGTGAAATCCATAATGAAGATAATGCATATAAACATTTATAAACCATAGTCAGGCATTTTTATAACATCTCAAAAATTTAAGACTCATAGAGCACTCAAACTTTCTTGAAATTTTTAAGTCCTCCAACTGTTCAAGAAAAAATGTCATTAATCCTGTTTTTAGCAACTCTGAATAAAAAGACACTGATGTACTGCACACTGAACTGCTCTTGATATTTGTTGGACTTCACAACATTTACAACATTCCAGAGCATGTCTCATTACCTACCTAACCTGCTTACATTGCCTGATCACTCAGAGTCAGAGATAATCAAACAAGACACAAGAAAAAAGATAGCTTTCTTAATCCTACGTAATTGTTCTACCAATACACACTAGGACCATGCTTCTTTGATTAACTATTGCTGTTGTTGTTAAGTGCAGTCAAGTCAGTGCCGATGCATAGAGACCCTGTATAGGGTTTCTGAGGGACGGCTGCTGGGTTTGAATTGCTGGCCTTGGAGTTCAAACCAACTTGCACCACACCATGTTATTCATGTAATTTCTGGGTGTTGGTTATTGACTCCATTTGCTGGTCATAGAATAGGCCCCTGACACAGGTGGAGCCCATACATAATGGAAAAAGATGTTGCCTGGTTCTGCACCTTCCCCATCACTGGCTGTGGACTGGACCACTGTGATCCACTGGGTAGATCACAAAGAAGGAGATTGTCAAGACTTTCTCCCTAGGACCTATGAGTCCAGAAGCCCCCCTAGAACCAGTTCAGCATCATAGCAACATGCAGTCCTTCAGGAACCGAGACATGGTGGGTGCACCTAAGGTATCAAACCTGGTTCTCATGCATGGAATGTCAGGATTCTACATGAACTAGTATCCTGGGTTATTTAGTCTCCTCACCTGAATTTTTGCCTACTTTTTGTCTGCCTCAATTGATTATATTTTTGTGTAAGTAGCAGTAACTTGGTTTATTTTTTCATACCTTTAAAATCAATTTTAGATGCAGCTTTTTTTTTTTTTTTAACTTGTTGCTTTTTTTTAATTATTGTGAATTGAGTGCTAGTTTACATGGAAGAACATAGGATTCACACCGGTCCATTGCAATGATTACAATCTCTTCCATGCATCATGACTGAATAGTATTTGCTCCCATTCTCTCTGTTTTTTTGTTTGTTTGTTTGTTTTTTGCTTGTTTGTTTGTTTTTCTGTGTGGGGGGGAGGAGAGTGAAAATGTACACAAACACACTCAGGAATATATAATAATTTAAACAGCCAAAGGGCACATTCTGCAAGCCTGCCTCCTGGTCGCCAGCTCTCAGTCACTCTCTTTCCATGAATCTAGAGTCTTCAGCTGCTCCCTCTCTCCATGTTCCCATCTCTGCCTCCATCTCTGGTGTTGCTGCTTCTTTGGATAAGGGCCCGCATTCTGCTTGTGCACTTCTCCTTTGGTGGTCCTAGGGTTCTCTGTTTCTGGACTGTAAGATTAATTACTCCCCCATTTTTGTTACAAAATTTCTACCTTTATAATTGTCACAGTCGCAATTAGTCATGATAACAATTACTTACTATTGAATCATAAGAATCATATCCCCTTCTCTTCTCACCAGACCCATCTAGACAAGATGAAAACTATTCAGTGGAGACTATCTTTCCCCACACACTCTTAAACTAAACTCCCTCTTGAAAACTTTAAGCCAATCACTTCATGCCTTTATCACCCCCTCATTAAAGGTAGCCAATGTGTAAGTTGACCGTCCCCTATATATCTTGTATACAGAGGGGATAGGATTGACAATGTGAAGACTCCTTCCCTCTCTGTTGGTATTTTGAGCTACTACATTCATACGTATAGGTCAAGTTCAAGTTCATCAAATTGTTGCAATTTATTATCTTTTCCTTTATCAAAAATTGCTTTTTTAGCTTCCTCTAGTCGAGTTTTGTTATCAAGCCATCGAGGCTAGGTCAAATGGGTGTAGCATTTTTTAAAGAAAGGATAGTATCTACAAGATCTCAAAGATTGATTGATTAAACAAGATTAAGGTTTAAATTTTTTTTTTAATTATCTAAACTTACTGTGTGATCCACGGAACACTGTACTGTTTATAAATTTAGAGCAATTACATTGAATGCATGCTACAAAGAAGCAAAAA